GATGTTCTTTGGATTTGCAGAGCGAGAGACCTGATTTCCTTCCTTCCTTTAGCTGAATGGCTTGGGTGAGATTCAGAAGGAGTTCTGGATTTACCTGTGAAGTTCTGCTTTATTTAGGGGCAGGCCCTCCTTTCCCTTGCCTAATATACCTTACCGCAGACGGGACTTGGAGGCAGGCAGGTGGGAGGGAAGCAAGCCTTTGCAGGGAAGACACCCTCGATTGCTGTGGAGTTGGAAACCAGTGTTGGGTGGGGGAGAGGTAGAGTCTTGGACAAGAATTCATGCAGTACCTCAGTGCACAGAGGAGGCGGGGACCTTATTCCAGCAGGCCTGGCGGTACGTGCAGTGATGAGTACATTCAGGCATTTTAAATCTAAAGTGACCTAAGTGTCGTGAGATTTGTCGGCGGGGGGACGGAGAAGAACAGAGAAGAGAGGCTGGGGGGTTCTGTGGTGAATAGAGTGGGGGGGCTCGCTCCCAGCCCGGCTCCCTCCCTTCCCAGTTCTGTGATCTGCTGGGCGTCAGGCTGCACTAGGGCAGGGACGGCGGCGTGCTCACTGCTGCGTCTTGCGTGCCTGGAACTTCAGTGTCCCTGCGACAGTAGGTGCTCTCGCCATGTGTGTTGAATAAATAAATAAATGAATCTGCGGCAAGTCACTTGACTTCCTCAAGGGGTGGTTTGTTGAGTTGTGAAATAACATGAGGTTGGTCCTTGCGTTCAAGTTTAGGGGAAGAAATGTGGGAGATCAGCCCAGTGTAGTACTTGGCACGTGGTAGATGCTCAAATGTGAATTCCGTTTTCTTGGGGACAGTGTGCCTGGGGCAACTGCAGAGAGGATTAGCTGGCAAAATGGGAGGGGGGGTGGTATGGAATTATCAAGTACAGTTTACCTTGGAAGTAACGTATTTACTAAAGAAATACATTTAGTAACAATGTGTATGTCTCTTGTTTCTCCTGTACCAAAAACCATAAACTCAGTGGCTTAAAACAACACACACTAGGGGCGCCTGGGTGGCTCAGTCGGTTAAGCGGCTGCCTTTGGCTCAGGTCATGATCCCAGGGTCCGGGGATCGAGCCCCGCCTCGGGCTCCCTGCTCAGCGGGGAGTCTGCTTCTCCCTCTCCCTCTGCCTGCCTCTCTGCCTACTTGTGCTCTCTATCTGTCAAATAAATAAATAAAATCTTTAAAAAACCAAAAAAAACCAACACACACTTATTGTATTACACTTCTTGAGGTCAGAAGACTCCCAAATGAAAGTAAAGGCCTGCCTGCCTTCTGGAGGCTTCAGGGGAGGGTCTGCTTTCCTGTTCCAGCTTCTACACGCGGTGGCATTCCTTGGCTCCTGGCTGCCTCCTCCACCTGGGATGTCTGTGCTGGGGTCTCTTCAGCAATCTCTGGCTCACCTGCCTCCTTCTTTCCCTTCAGAAGGTCCCTTGTGATTCCTCCAGGGTAATCTCCTTATCTTGGGATCCTTAACTGGATCACATCCGAAAAGTGCCTTTTGTCTGTGAGGGATCCTATTGGTAGGTTCTAGGGATTAGCAGTGGACATCATTGAGGGGAAGCATTATCTGGTCTACCACAACGTGCAAATCTTTTGACCCCAAAATACCATATTTACTTTATTTTAAGAAAAAGAAATGGACTAGTGCACAAAGATGTGTGTATTAGGTCATTTGTCATAACATTATAACACCAGACTTATCAGAAGGAATATAGACCTTCAGTAATAGGGAATTAGTTAAATTATGATATCTGTATAATAGATGACATTAAAAAAGAAGATCCAAAAGGACATATATTAACATGGAAAGGTATCCATGATTAAATAATAAAAGCTGTTACAAAACAATATGAATGATAGGATCCCATTCTTAGGGAATACATGCCTTTGTACATATGCATAGAAAAAGGTCCAGAAGAATATATACACCAAGATGTTAACAAGGCTTATTTCTGTGTTTGGAGACTACAGGCGATTTCTTTTTGCTTCTCCGTGTTTACTCATGTTTTGGCAGTGAAATGTTATAAAAACCCACTTTTTTTTTTTTAAAGAAAATTACTGAATTGAGTGAAAAAGAATTTATGAGCTAATGCAGGTTTGGCATCTGAAAGTTCAACTTTGAACGGATTTTTCTTTGAATTGAATCTTTAGACCCAAATTGGCTGATAGCCATCTCCTTTAGCACTTCAGCGTGTCATGTGGAGTCTTGTTCTGCTCTTGACTCTTTCCAGAGCCCTGTGCTCATTTTGTCATCCACAGAAGGTGGCAGCTCAGCCCTGGCCCCTCACCTGCAGGAGAAGAGCAGGAAGGCTTTTGAAGAGAAAAGGAGTGCTTTTCCAGTTGGGCCGCGGCATAATGGTTTTATGGTCCTTTTATTGGAGGTGCTCTCCTTCCATATTAAAATTTTTTCAGTTCTTTCTGCTTTTCACATTTTTTTAAAAAATGTTTACATGTTTTCTCAGCCATGTCTCTGTTCTGGAGGTACTGTGACAGCCCCCACGTTGTATCAGGGGCTGTACGTTGTTCTTGGAGGTGTGACGTGAAGGTGGCCTCCCTCCGTCCTTCTGACCGTGAGGCCGCACCTGCTGTGGCTTGCAGAGGGCACGAAGGAGCAGAGCCCCATTCTTCCATCCGCCTGCCCCTACGCTCCTGCTGCGGGTACAGGTTGTTTGCAGATTTCTTTCAAGGAATCGTGTGTGTGTGTGTGTGTGTGTGTTTTCTTATATACTAGAAGAAAGAAAATAAATTTGTAATTACAAAATAATTTGACAGTATTTTTGTTTGCGGTGCTAACGAAAGTTTAATGCGGCTCTCTGGGTTCCATCTTTCGTTCGGGCCATCCGTAGCCCTGTGAGGGAAGCAGCACCGTCTTCGCTTCTCAGTGGCAGAAATTGAAGTTTTAGGCTGCTAGGTGATGACGTTGGAGTTGCATAGCTGGTGAGTGTCCAAGTTGGACTGGATGCTCAGGACTCCTTGTTCCCGGGACAGCGCCGCCAGATGTTTGGCTCTGTGAGACAGGTGATGGCCAGTGTTGAGGGCCTCGTGTCACCAGGCCCTGCTCCCGGGACACCCAGCAGATCCTCACAATCACCCTATTGGTGTTGAGTTTTATTCTTAGCATTTGGCAAGGGGGGAGCCAACACTCAGGGAAGGGGACAGTCGTCCATCACACAGCTAGTGGGTTGGAGGCCTGGGCTCCCTGATTCCAAAACCCAGTGCCTTCCTCCTCTTCCTGCATCCCTTGTGGGCCATAAGCACTGACTACTGTGGTTAGCAAAGTATGCCCTGGAGCGTCACTTGCAAAATGGAGGCTCTCAGATCAGCTATTCTAAGGGTTTGCAAGCGTCTCCAAAAAAGCGGGATGTCTTTTTTGTTAATAGTTCATAGCCTCGGGGCGCCTGGGTGGCTCATTTGTTAGGTGTCTGCCTTCAGCTCGGGTCATGATTGCAGGTCCTGGGATCGAGCCCCGCATCGGGCTCCCTGCGCGGCGGGAAGCCTGCTTCTCCCTCTCCCACTCCCCCTGCTTGTATTCCCTCTCTCGCTGTTTCTCTCTCTGTCAAATAGATGAATAAAATCTTTAAAAAAAAAAAATAGTTCATAGCCTCTTTTCCTGTTAGGCATTGCCAATCAATCTGGCAACTGCAGTAAGAACCAAATTATACACTCAATTGGTTTAGCTAGCCTGGTCTTTTGGGCATTGATTGATAGTCGGGGGTCACATGTCAACAGACCCAAAGAAACTTATCTTTTTGGCCAAAGGGTTGCTTATCTAAGGCTTGGAAGTGATTAAAACTGTCATCTGTAAGGTCCCCCAGGGTGCTCTGTGGATCATCTCTTATACTGATGTTTTCTTTTTTCCTAGCATTCATGCAATAGGTGCTCAAGAAATACTGAATTAAAAGAATTTAGTGCAGTCTCTACTGCATGCAGGGATTCTCTGTAGAGCATCCAGACGATGGCTGGGGTAGAGGGAGGATCTCTGCCTGGTCCTGACCAGTGATGGGAGCTCAGGTTCCTCTTTACTCGGACATCCACAGCTTCCGCGCCCTGGTGCCTCCTTCCAGGGCCTGCTTAGCTTTGCAGAAGAGATTCCTAACACGGGGGGGGGGGGGGCGGTCCCCCATGTCTCAGCCTTTCTGTCCTTAAGCTAAGCTGTCCTGCTTTAGAAAGCCATCCAGATCTCCTTGCCCCATGTTTCCTGATGCGAATGTTGGCCCTTCTACACTGTAGCCCCTAGAGCCCACCTTCCCAGGGAGGGAGCCCTTCAGTAGTGAGCTAACTGTTGCATGTGCCGTGTGTTCCCAGTGGAAAACAGGAGGTTTCCCATCCGTGTGGGACTCACAGTCCGTAAGGGGCAATCTCTCAGTGTTCTACAGACTCAGCTAGAAATCTGACATGGAAAGTGGGGCCCGAAGAAGGGAGTGTCATTTCTCCTTGACAGTTGCACTGAATAAAGATTTCAGGTATGTTTATTCACTTAAATACTTACTGAGTGTCTTTCCCATGCCAGCCATGTGCTGGATAGCTGGCACCTAAGGACACTGCGCCTTGTCTCGGGGGCCGGTGGTCTACAGACATAGTGCTCCCATTCACATGAGGGGTTACTTCAAACTGAGATGAAAACTACGAAGAAAAAGACTGTGATTCTATGAGGCTGTAGACTGGGCATCAGACAAGGTGCTCTTGAGGAGGCGCTGAGGTCGAAAAGGATGAGTAAGAACTAGAGAAAGCGCTGCGGGGACGAGTACTGAGGGCAGAGCTAAGAGGGGCTGGGAAGCTGGAGTGGTGGTAGGGGAACCATGGATGTGCAGCCCTGGAGGCCACTTGAGCTTTGGTGGTGATCATCAAGGTGACAGGGAGTCTGTGCAGGGTTGCAGGTGGGCGATGGAGATGAGACCTGCTCCCCAGCTCCCGTGGAGGGGTGGTGTTTGGAGGGAGGCCAGTGTTGAAACAGGGATCCATCAGGAGGCTGTTACACTAGACGGGGGACAACAGTGATGGCTTGGGTGAGGTGATAGCACAGAGATGGAGAGAAGTAGATAGGTTGCACTTGGTGATGGAGGGTGTGAAGGGAGGAGACGGGCTTCTGACTCAGATACTTGGAATGATAGTGGAGTTCCTGTTGAGCAGAGGGATGTGGGAAAGAGAGATGGTCTCTTTTTCTTGCAGGGGCAGGGTAGAGATTGTTGTGAGTTCAGTCTTAGATTTGGGGAGCATAGGGTGCCTTTGAAATATCCACACAAAGCAGACAGCTGTATAAACAGATTTACACAGAGCTCAAAGGTGATGTTTGAGCTGACTCTTGGAAAAAAGATTGCATGGTTTCCAAGTGAACAGTAGGGAAGGACAGGCAAGGCAGCCCAGTGTGGAGGGTGTGGCATAAGGGAAAGTCGGGAGACTGGAAAGAGCGCGGTGTTAGGGGAGCTGTGAATGGTTGTGGGATTGAGAACTGGGTGTGTAGCCAAGATGGGAAAGGAGAGATTTGGGGCTGGGCAGGTCGTGGGGAATCTTTTATGCCATGTTAAGAAATTGGAACTTTATCCTAAAGGCTATCATCAGCTAGTGGAGGGCTTTTAGTGATTGAGTGTTATAGTCAGGTTTATACTTCAGAAAAATCACTGCCAGTAAAGTGAAGGACTGATTGGGTGAGTCATTCCTTCCCTCATTTGTCTCCCAGGGCTGTCTCTTCCACGCTGTGCGCTCAGCACTGTGTTAGATGTTGGGGAGACTGAGGTCAAGGCAGAGACTGTACTTTAATGAGTTGGTTGTCTATGGAGGAAGAGGGACCCAAAAGCATAAAACTATATTCAATATGGTAATTGTGAGAATACCCATGTATATAGAGTATTAGCTCAGAACAGCTTAGCTAGACTGTGTTTAGGGAAAGTTTCTAAGATGATATTAGACAAAGTTTTAAACAAATTGTAGGGGAGATGGATGGTCATTGAAATTGCATTCCACCTTTCCATCCGGCAGCAGCCATCAGCCCAAAGGTAGGCCAAGGTGGGCGCTTGCAAGTCCATCCAGGAGCTACAGAGGAAGAAGCAGTCCGATGAAATGCGCTTCTCAGGGTGCACGCTGGCAGGACCACCAGCTCTCTGCGCTCCACAGGGCCCCCCACCCAACCTGGCCTGATAAAGCGTTCAGGCTGGGGTACAAGGCCAAGCAAGGTTATGTCATATATCAGACTCGTGTGCATTGTGGTGGCCGCAAACGCCCAGTTCCTAAGGGTGCTACCTCTGGCAAGCCTGTCCATCATGGTGGTAACCAGCTCAAGTTTGCCTGAAGCCTTCAGTCTGTTGCAGAGGAGTGAATTGGATGCCACTGGGGCTCTGAGAGTCTTGAATTCTTCCTGGGTTGGTGAAGATTCCACATACTAATTCTTTGAGGTTATCCTCATTGATCCATTCCATAAAGCTATCGGAAGAAATCCTGACACCCAGTGGATCACCAAACCAGTCCACAAGCACAGGGAGATGCGAGGGCTAACATCCGCAGGCCCAAGAGCCGTGGCCTTGGAAAGGGTCACAAGTTCCACCACACTATTGGTGGTTCTTGCCATGCAGCATGGAGAAGATGCAGTATCCTCCGCCTCCACCATTACTGCTAACATAGGTAATATTTGTAAAATTCTTACCTAATAAATAATTCAGGACAGTCAAAAAAAAAAAAAAGAAATTGCATTCCAAGTACAGGGGTAGAAAGAACAGAATCATGGAAGGAATAAGTAGTGTAGTATATTAGGAGACCTCCATTGGTTTTTTGCAGGAAGGCAAAGAGCAAAGGGAAAGTAGTGGGAAGTGAGGATGGCCTGGATTTCCAGTGTCTGCTAGACTAAGAAGGCTGTGATATGATCAACTTTGCCTGTTAGAATGATCATTTTGCAGCTGTGGGGAGAATGGATTTGCAGGCAAGAGCCTATGAGGTCCCCTTCATGATAAAAAAAAAAAAACCCACCCTCCCCAACCCCAAAACCTCATTAGGAATGGAATGGAGCTCCCTTAAATGGATAAAGACCATTTGTTGCAAAACCCACTGCTAACATCATGCCCAGTGGTGAAAGACTAAAGGCTCTCCCCTTAAGATCCAGAATGAAACAAGGATGCCCACACTTGTCATTCTTATTAAATATTGTACAAGTAGCTCTAGCTGGATAATTGGGCCAGGAGATGAAATCAAAACCATCCACGGTAGAAAGGAAGTAAAATGCACCTCCATTTGCAGATAGCATGATGTTGTAGAAGTAAATTCACTAGAACACTCTTAGAACTAATACGTTCAGTAAGGTAGCAGGATATAAGATCTGTATGCAAAAGTCAGTTGTATTAGTAAATAATTAAAATGAACAACCAGGAAATTAAATTAAGAATATAATTCTTTTCATAATATTAAAAGTTAATTAGGAATAAAATGAACAAAAAACTACAAGGCTTGTGTACTGAACACTACAAAACATCACAGAAGTTTAGGAAGACCGAAGTAATAAAAAGACATCCCAAGTTTACAGGTTGGAAGGCTTCATATTGTTGAGTTGGCAGTACCACCCAGACCAATGCACAGATTCCTTGCAGTCTCCATCAAAATCCCCGCTGGGTTCTTTTGCAAAAATCAAGCTGATCCTCAACTGCATGTTTTTCTAGCATGAGTTCCTGGGAGAATGGCTTCACTCAGACATTGCCAACTTAATACGAGGTTGACAGGTGTGAGGCATGACGATGTCTAAGGCCTTGTTCTAAGCCTGTGACCTATATTCAAGAGGTAATCTTTACAAGCCTGTACGTCCACACTGATGGGTGAGGAAATGGGAAGGAAGTAGCCCTAGGTCACACAGCTGGAAGCTGGGGAGCCAGGATTCCAACACCATCATTCTGGTACCACAACCCATGGTCTTGACCCCTACTGAATACTGCTTCTTTCCCCAGTGAGAGAATACAAGAGCTAAGTGGAACATTCTGAGCCAGAGGCTTCTGGACATGTAGGTAGAGGTGCTAAGCAGATGGTTGGCTTCATATCTGGAAGTTGAGGAGAGGGCTTGGCCTCTGATCAGGATCTGAGCACCATCAACATAAAAGCAGTATTGTCATCATGGTTGGGAGAAGGTAGTGAGATGGGCAGGTAGGTGATATCAGACTCATGTTTCACAGGAACTGAGAGACTAAAGGTCAGGGGTCGAATTGGCCTCTTGCAAAATTCGTATGTGGACATCCTAACCCCGGGACCTCAGACTGTGACCTTATTTGGAGATAGTTTTTATAGAGACAGTCTAGTGAAAGTGAGGTCCTGAGGGTGGGCCCCAATCCAATATGACTGGTGTCCTTATCGAAAGGGAAACTTGGAGATGGACATGCCCACAGGGAGGATGCATGTAAATGTGCAGACAACCATCTCCAAGCCAAGAAGAGGCCTCGGAAGTAACTGTCCTTGCCGACACCCATCTCAGACTTCCAGCCCCCAGGATTATGAGATGAGAAATTTCTGTTGTCTCAACCACCTGGTTTTGGTACTTTATTCTGGCAGCACCAACGGGCTAATGCAGGAAGGAAGGAAGAACGTCCAATAGGAGGGATTATCAACAGTGTCAAGTCCGTAGAGGACAGAACCCAGACCTGCCTACCAGGTCTGAGCCAGCTCCCAGTACCTGACATCACAGTGCCTCCCGAGCAGGCCTGCTTTGTCGCTGTTGTGACCTGAGGTGACATCCCCTGCTGAGTCATGTTCTGGCCCCTCCAGAGCAGGAGTGGGAGCATCAGGGACCCCTCGATCCCCCTTGATCCCATCATTGGCTGTCAGTCTCAACCTCTCCTAAGCTTGAGTTTTTGCAAGCCAGATGTGGGAGTTAGATGAGTCCTTGTTAAATGTCATCTCACTGGTTTTGATTCCCCACATCGCCCAGTATGTTGCTTAAAATTTCAGCTCTGCTGTCTTTCAGGTAAGCTTTCCCCGGAGACATGTGGTGTCCCCAGAATTGAAAGGGATTTGCTTATTTTGCGCTTATCTAAGTGACCGAAAAGAGGGAAAACCTGTAGGAGACAATACCAGAGGGGCAGCAGCCGCGGGCAGCGCCCCAGCTGTGCCCCTGGGGTCCTGGGGAAAGTCTGTCTTCTCTTGGTTCCCGGGTCCCGGGACCACCTGCGGCAGCCCTCAGTCCCTGCTTCTTGACTCCTCTGTAGGCACCTCCTCTTCCCTGCCCCTCAGTGTGGGCAGTGCTGGAGCTGGGTTCTTCACCAGTTGGCCCTTATGCTTCTGTGTCTTGACGATCCCCTCTCCGCTCCTGGTGCTAGTTCCTGCCTGTGGCTCTCAGTGGTTCTCCCGGCTGATTGCTTTGATCCAGCTGGTATCCACCCCAGGTAACTCTTGGGCTTCAGTGTCCTCTTCTATAGAACGAGGGGAGTAATAATAATAACAGACCACGCGAGGGCGTTAAGATGATCGAACGAGGTAATACAGCTGGAGAGTTTATTGGCAGTAGTGCCCGGTACACGCGAAGTCCTCTGTACGTGGTCCCGTTACTGCGACCACCACCACGGGCACGTGACCGCCGCTGACTCCAGCCCGCGTGTCCCAGGGCGCCTCGCCACGCACGGCAGGCTGCAAGTGTTGAACTCCGGTCGGGCAGCTCTCCCGTTGCCGCTTCTCACCCGGCCTGAAATCCTTTGCAGTTTATGCAGGGTTGACCTGAATTCTCACCTCTCTCCCCATGTGTGCGTGCAGTGTCCTAGAGTGTCCTCTCATGCCGGTTCCTCAGGGCTCACGCCGCTGCTCCGCGTACTCGGTGAAGTTGAGCAAACGCTTGGATGAGATGAGCAGGGCACTAATCAGTATTTGCCAGCCACCGTGAAGATGATGATTTATATACGTGTTAACCATCACCGCAGCCCTTTATGGTGGGCATTTGATCCCCTCGTCCCAACTGAACACTTTGAAGTCCAGTTGCTGATCCGGGAGAATAATATTCATACTCCTTCTTGAGTGCTGAGGAACCTGGAGCTACTTAGAACCTCCTGGTCCGTTCAGAACTAGCTTGCCATCTCGGGCCCTGCTGACTGTGCCCGTGGGACCCACTGCTTGCTGTGTGCAGGGGGACCAGAGAGTGGGGAGCGGCCAGGGGCTGAGTGCACCATTGCTCTCAGGAGTGCGAGCATGATCGGGCCTGCCCACCTGGAAGGTGCCTTCATGTATTGTGTTATTTGGCTCCACCAGACAAACTGGTTTAGCACAACAAAGTACAGACTGAAAATGTAAAAGATTTACCTCTGTCCTGTTTCTGTTCTAGATGCAGTGAACCACTCCCAAATGGGTTAACTGCTTCCAGAAACCTAATCAATAGGACATGGCTGTAAATAGTATCTGTAAATTAGCAATTTGCAATCCCAATAAAATATGAACAGATTGCAACAATAAATAGAAGAACTGAGCACAAAATGAGAGTAACTCTATTTGTGTTGTTCATTATATCATTCATCTTGGGCTCAGAACTCTGAATGTACCAGTTCCAAGAATCTTTTTACACCTTCTGTTGCAAGGTGAATGTTAAGTATTGTTGGACAGGAGTCTCTAAACGAATTGCCTGAAGTTTTCTCTGAACTTCAGCAAGAGAGCTGGAAGGCAGGCACCCAAAAAGAAGGCCTTTTTTGGAGGGGCCTCCTGGGGTTGGGGTGAGGGTTGGAGTGGATGTGAGGCCCTCAGTGAGACACTGTGGACCGTGGGCTGTCAGACATGCTTCCTGAGGGGTTCTTACTGTCCTGAGCCTCGGTATGAGCAGTTGATGACGTAGTGGTGCATTAAATGTCTCCAGGCAGTAAGAATGAGGTGATTAGCGGACAGTCCTCAAGCTTCTTCTTATGTACTGAGTCCAGTAAGTACATTGGGTTTTTTTTTTCTCTGACAACAGAAAATTTGGCATAGAAACCACTTCAGTGTAATATGGCCGACTCTAGAAGCCAGGTATGGAAGTCCGGTGAAAATGTGGTTAATTCCTATGATTGGTGAGTGGAAGTTAACTGTGAAAGTACCAAATCCCGAGTGAGGGAGTTAGTTTCATAACAGTGGTCTGGAGCTATAACTACTAAATGTTGGGGTATACCTGACCTCTCAAGTGGTCTAGGTGCTTTCCTCCCTCCCTGCCCACACTCCCCTTGTGCTGTTGGTGGTGGTGTGGCCTGTTCCTATGCCCACTTGAGGATGAGCTCCTGAGGGCAGGCCTCGGCTGTCTCGTTCATTGCCACACCCCGAGCCAGCACCCGGCGCACGGTAGGATCCCAGCAAACATTCCCGAGTAAGTGAATGAATGCATGGCTGTCTTCCCTGTCGATTGAAAGTCCCACAGGAGAGGTTGCGTGTGCGTAGCCTCCTACAGCCCCAGAGCCTCCTGGCGTCTGGTACTAGGTGTGGGGGTCCGGGCCTGGAGGCGTGGGTGCTAACACCATATGCTTTCCCCGGGCAGTGGGGTGTCCCTTTGCCTCTGTCTCCTCTTCTGTAAATTCCTTCTCTGTGGCTTATTTTGAGAATCAAATGAAATAATACATAAAAGATGCTTTTAAAACCATGAAGTATTATTGGTGATTGAGCTGTGTGTGTGTTCTGTCTACCTTCCATCACTGTAATTATGCTCATTTAGGCCAGAGTGATGTTCGTGCTTAAGATGAAAATAACTCCGATAATGTTCGTAAGTTTGGATTTATTCTTTGATTCCCCATCTTCCTGCCACGAAGTTATCAAGCTATAAATAAATATTATGACTTTTATGACAGAGGAGTGGAAACAGCGCTTCTTCCCTGACACAGCCAACTTGTCTTTACGGTGTTAGCCAGCGCAACTTGGTGTCCCCTTGAATTATTGATTCTGCCCTGCTGTCTCATGCCTAGAATTAAGGTATCAGCTGAGAAACAGAGTTGTTTGTGAGATGTGAGCTTCTGTGTGTATGCTAAGAGCATCTGTGCTGCCCCCACTAAAGAAAATAATTCAAGTGTACATTGAATGAGAGGTGTGAGGCATTATGGTTGGCGTAGGGGAGGGGCTCCCATGTTCTTGTCTCAGGAAGCTCTTAGGCTTCATAGGATTTTCTGCTTAGGTTCATACTAACGTGGGTATTTTGCTGTTGAATATTGCAGGATAGAGTAAAACATGGAACCGAGAGGCAGTCATACAGAAGGAAAAGAATAAATTGATACTTGAATAGAAACAGGAGGAAACTTGTCTTTATTGAGCATCTGTGTTATGTGATGGATGATCTCAGTACTTCATTGGATTAGTTACCATAATCATACTGCAAGATGAGTGTGCTTATCCCCGTGTTTTTCAAAACCAAGGCTCATAGCTAGTAAGTTGCCCAAGGTGATAGTTCATAAATGACAGGGCAGGTGGTTTCAGAGCATGGTGTGTGGGTAACTATAAGAAGCTTATAGTTATTACTCATTATAAAGTACAAGAGGCACAGTGGTAGGTGAGCACCACACCATTAAGATGGAAGGAAGATTTTTATAGGAATTTAAAAGCTCAAATTGATTATAAAATGTCATAATGTTGTTATTTAAAAATAGTTTAAAGTAGTTGTTGCTAGGAGCATGGTTTTTTTTGTAAATTTTTTTTTTAGATTTTATTTATTTATTTGACAGAGCACATGTGCACACAAGCAGGGGGAGCGGCAGGCAGAGGGAGAGGGAGGAGCAGGGTCCCCGCAGAGCAGGGAGCCCGATGCGGGGCTCGATGCGGGGCTCGATCCAGGACCCTGGGATCATGACCTGAGCCGAAGGCAAACGCTTAATGACTGAGCCACCCGGGGGCGCCCCACAGAGCATGCTTTCTTAATGGAGATCCATTGGCTTGAGTAGAAGTCAAGTTGAAAACTGTGTATATATGTACACTGTCATGTTCATCGCCTGCCCTGCCCACATGCATGCATGGTACCTGTGGACACCTTCTCCCAGAGAGTGAGTGCAGGATTTAGTTCTTCCCTGAACCCTACTTGGAACGGGCCGTGGTATGAGGGGGTAGACAGCTGCTTGCTGTGGCGACCGTCACACATGCCTTGTGGCCACACAGCTACTCCTGTGTTTTGTGCCACCTTCCACGTGAATTCTGTAGATATACAGTATTTCCTGATACTTTCTCAAAAAAGGTGGTTTTGAAAATTTAACTAGTGTATTGAACATCCACTTGTTAGTTGGATTGAGTCAGCTCTGTTATATGCCAGGTATTATATGAACTTTTATATACACTGTCTCATTTTAGGTAGTAAGTAGTGAACTTAGGTGATATTTTCAGTAAAGGAGAGACGGTGAAGATGGAATTCCAGCCCAGATGGCCCGGTGAGGTCCTGCTTTGTCTTGTCCTTGCCAGCAAAGGGGCTTAGACAATAACAGGAAAAATTTAAAAGGAGAAAACCAGAAATACCTGTGAGTTAAAAAAATTAGATAAGCAAATCCCATGAAATAGAAAAAAAAAATGAAGCAGTTAGCTGGGTTCTAGGTTCGTTGGTGGCTACAATTTTAGCATAGTGCAAAAAACCTAAATAAAACAGTAGCAAATCAGACTCTGATGGGTATAAAAGGAATAATATGTCACGACCAAGTAGATTTTATCTCAGAAATGCGAGGATGGTTCTAAGCCAGGAAATCTGTGTGACCTATATCATACTAGCAAATCAACTGAAAGAAAAATACAAAAATTTAATAGTTACAAAAAAGATAAAACTCAACATATATTCATACTGACTCTTAATAAACCAAGACTGTGACGGAGTATTAGCTTAATTAAGGGTGTTTGTGAAAAATCTATAAGAAACACACTTAGAAGTGAAACTTCAGACACATGATCTTTTTAAGAAATGATAAGAAAAGATTAAACACATAAGAGGTGTGTGAATTATAATGGGAGAAACAAAACTGCAGATGGGGGATTGTCTATGTGGAAAATTCAAGAGACTATGGACAGACCATTAGAATTGGAGAGTTCAAGTTTTCTTAATTAAAAAAAATAGCATATCTCCGTGCCAATAAAAGCCAATCAGAAGATACAACTTAGAATATTCACATTCACACTAGTGACCAGTACTCTGCTATTGTTAAAAAAAAAATCCAGCCATGTATGTAAGACCTTTATGAAGGCTGTCACAAAACATACAAGTAGACCTGATAAAATAGCAAATGATACACTATGTGGAGGGGAAGACTTGATATTTTGAAGATGTTGACTTACAGCCAGATCTGTGGATTACCTATAATTCCTAGCAAAATTCCAACAGGTTTTAAAATCAACTTGACATGCTAATTTTAGAATTCATATAGAAGAACGAGCCAAGAGTAGCCAAGAAGAAAGTGACCAAGTTGTGGAGTCTTGCCCCATGAGATAGTAAGGCTTGTGAAGCGAGAGTAATTAGAACCATCTGATGAATGTACAGGGAGAGATAGACAAATGGAAGAAAATAGAAAGCCCCAAATCAAATCCGTAGGTATAGGGAAATTGGACATGCCTTATTTCATTAATTCTACGAAATACCTCTATTTTATCGCTAAAATACAATTTCATCTTATTTATGATGTTTTATAATTGTTGTCAGCCAGATGGCAGACCTAACATGGTTTTGTAAGAACCTTCTGAGGAGAATTTTAGAACTGATGGAATGTGGAATGGCAGGGAGATGTTCTAAATCAGTGGGAGCAAGGAAGAACCTTTTCATAAACGGTGCTGGCACGTTTGGTTATACATATGGGAGGAACCCAGGAGTACCATAAGCAAGATCAGTATCGGATAGGATAAATATTCCAGGATGAAAAAGCAACATGTTTGCAGTTTTAGAAGATCGTATAGGGGGTGACCCAGGGGAGGGGCAGGGTTTCTTCAGCTTGGCATACAGAGCATAAACCGGAAAGGAGGAGGCTGTCCAGCTTGATTACATCACACTCTTACAAAATCCTGCAAAGGAGAATGTGAGCAAAATTTAAAGCTAAGTCACATGTATGTTATGACATTTTATGCGTTGTTAGGTCTATATGATAAATCCCAAGTGAAGAAAAAGTTAAGGAGATAGAGGGAGAGAGAATCCACAGAAAGGGAGATGTGATCAGCACCCTTAACTAACAAAGGACTAGATTGTACGAGGGATTATCACTGATGCTTGAATCTGGAAGCAGCAGTTAGGGAAGCAGGTGGTGGAGCCGAGCAGACCTGCAGGAAGAGGAAGCCTGAGCCGGCTCAGCCATGCAGATGCTCCTGTTTGGTCCCTCTTGCCTGACAGGCGCCTGTGCCCCGCCCGTGATTAAATAGCAGTAGTAATGCTCTTGTAAAAAACAAGAGAGGAGAGGCACACTGACATGAGGTAGCAGCTCCCTGTCTCCCCTGCTTTATCGTCAGCAGGCCTTCGCACCCTCCTGACAGGACATTCATCACACACTTTGTTTTTGTCTATCGCCTGCTCTCCGAAAGGGTGGTCGTTTTGTCTGTAGTTTGCTTGCTAGCGTCTTCAGTGTGTTTAGCAGTGACTGGCACATAAATATTTGTTGAGTAAGTGGATAGATGGATGGAGGGGACAGGGACAGGTCCACATTTATAAAACCTGGACTTAGTAGAATGGGGAAACCGAAATAGCAAAGTCTGTAGTACCAGAAATGGCAAGGATGTAGTAAGATGGCAACTCTTGCATAGTTTGGCCAAAGTATAAATCTGTGCATCCATTTGGCACTTTCAGTGAAGTTGAGGCTGCGTGTATTTTTTGACCTCTTCCCAGTGCTGTTGGAGAAGTGACCACTGAAAAGAGCTCGAATGCCTGTGAATAAGGACTCATAAATAAAGTGTGGTAAATCTGTGCACTGCAGTACCCCACGGTAGTTAAAATGACAGAAGTAAATAAAAATCTATCAGTGTGATTAAATCTTGGAACAATCGTTTATTGAGGGAAAACAGTAAGTTTCAGAATAAAGTAATTTGTATGATTACATTTCCATCGTGTTTAAAAACGTGTAATATTTACATACATGTAATAAGCATATAAAAATATGTGACTAACACATCAATTTCAGGATGATCGTTACCTCTGAGGAAGAAGACAGGGGCACTTAGGGGCTCTATGTGTGTAAGTAAATGGGAAAAAACGGTAAGATTTGTTACAGACCTATGGGTCCATGAATGATGATTATGGGTTTTAGACTACACTCATCAGCTCATGGATTCTTAGTGTTCTGTCGTATTGCCTGCCTTCCAAAGAAATCTGACACAAAAGATACAGTTGACTCAGTACAGCACATAAGGAAACTCCCTGGTGTCTTGTCCTGCCTTCCCACTCCAGAACTCACTGGTCCCTGTCGTGAACGTGGTGTTTGTCATTCTGAAGCTTGTCAGGTTGGGCACTTGGTTAGTTTGTTCTGGAGGCATAGGGTGGATGGAGGGGCGTGTCTAGAAGCGCGCACACGCGCGTGTGTGTGTGTGTTTGTGTGTGTGTGTGATGAAGCACGTACATGGGCGCACTGTACATGACTGGGATCTACTCACCGGCAGCCAATGCTCAGTGGCACACACGTTCCTGTCAGATTCATCCATGGCGTCAAGGTGAGCTCTGTAAATCCTGTACTTGTGTCTAAATTCCTGTAGTGAGTGAGCTTGGTTTTGGGGTTTTAGAAGACTTCTTCCTTCATGGTTTACCTTTCTCCATCACAAAAAGGAAAATGACCCAAGCTCATTGTATTTCCCACCCCCTAGAGGGGTGAGTTGAAGGGATTTTAAGATACTTCCAGAGATGGCCAAAACCTATGCAAACACTGTACTTTTCACATCCATTGGCAGAGAGCCCCCCAAATCCAGGACATTTTCTCTAAGGGGCAGGTGGTAGGGAAGAGAAGGCTGGTGCCTGCGGTGGTCAGGATTCCAGCAGGGTGCAGCAGGAAGGCTCAGGTGTGCCCGCACAGCACTGAGCAACGAGCAGCTACGGGAAGCTGCCAGTCCCTCTGTGCCTGAGGGGGTGAGGGCTCTGCATGGTGTTAGCAGAGCTTCTGCGTGCTAGAGCCATGGGAGCATGGGGTGGGGGGTCCAGCCCCTCTATGCTGTGGCCGAGAGGACACCCTAGGGGACAGATAACTAGACATAGTATTGCTTCATCTCGTGTCTTGGACTGACGGACTGGCGGAGGAATTGTGACAGGTGAGACCAGAGCCGGAGGCCCCACATCTGGGCCTGGGCAGCAGTTCTGCTCTGTATTTGTGTCCTCGGGCCCTGGACAGAGCTACAGCCACTCATTCACTCACTGCCTGGACACCTGCTCTTCTACTCGGCACGTGCTCCTTGGACACATAGCTTGGGTGGTGAGGACCCTGCCTCTCAGAGGTTCTACTCCATGGGAACAGGGAGGCGTGGGAGGAAAGCTCAGAAGCTGAGTGCTGCCAGGCACCTGTCTGTGCGCTCTCCCATTTACCCCTCCAGCAGCCCTCTGATCTAGGCATTTCATCCTCCCTCTTCATAAATGAGGAAAGGAAGGTTTGGAGAGGCTGATATATTCATGCCAGTAAACTAGTAATGTGGCTGAGCTGGAATTCAAGCCTGCAGCTCTGCGGCTGTGAGCCCTCTGCCCCTGCAGAAAATAACCTACACCTTAGGAGGAACGTGGCTGAAGACGTGCCTGCAGGTAGGAGCCGCAGAAGTGGGGAGCACCGCGCTGGAGCAGGAGCAGGGTGGGACACGCCGTTTCCTGGAGCTGCTGCTCACCCTCGCCTGCTGTCCGCCCCGTGTGGTCATTGCAGGAGTAGCTTTCCCAGTGAGCGCGCACGCGGAGCCACCGGGGGGTTGCCCTGCTGTGTGCGGTGCCTGGGCCGTGACTTGAGCCAGTCGAAGCAGCACCCCCAGAAGGCTGCCCTTTCTGTGTTGGGGGGCTTGTTTTTGGAATGTTACAGTGAGAGAGGAAGGTCATAAAATGTCCCATAGTCTATTGTGTGCTTCCAACATTCATTCCTTGGCACTTGGAAAAAAGGAAATTAAAAATCATTCTATGGGTGTGTGAATGTGTGCACGAGATGCAGTGTTTCTGAGGACACGTCTTCAAATGCAAGCGTGTGGATCTATTTTTAGGCATCCTTTCTCCCAACAGTGCTGTTTAAAGATTCAGCTCAGGCTGCTAATAGGTATATTTATAACCATTCTGTCGAGGGCCCCAGCATGAATGCTGCTGCCGATGATGCTATTCTTGGAGGCGGTTGCCATGGTTACCATTAACCCTTTGCCTTGGAAGAGTCTATCTGTCGGATGCTTTGTTCCCCCAGGGCGCCCAGGAGCATTTGAATGCATACATGTACTCCGAAATGGAAACAAAAGTTGAGTGCATTTAATGCTTAAACAGTGAATAAATTTGGCAAATGAATGGGCAGCACAAGTAATATAAGTAGAGATTCCTCCTTTGCCCTTAAAAATAGAACAATAAAGTTAGCTTTGTAGCCGCTGCTGAGCACTGCTGAGCTAAAACCGTCCTTTAAATTTGAATATAGACTCACATGTGAGGAGAGAGGACTCAGTTTCTTAAGATACATTGTTCCTGCTTCCCTAGCTAGGATTTCTCCAACTTTGCAACTTCTGGTTTAAAAGAAAAGCCAGGTATCTCTTTATTCTTTCCTTAAGTGGAGCACTACCGCACAGAGCTCTAGAACTGGTGTCCCTTAGGGCGTGAAGTCAGTTCTGATTTAGCTGTGCGGACTTACCAGTCAGTGGGGTCAAGATAAATAGAAGAGAGACATGGTGTAATACGGAGACATATTCCCCTTATTTTTAAAGAACCGTATCATGAGGCGTGCTGTGTAAGAAAGGGGGTTGGTTCTCCTGCCCATAAGTAGCTTATGGTTAGAAGAGGAATCAAACCATTATTCTAGCATGAAGAACAAAATAAACATGGCAAAAAGATAGCACAGATACTCTCTGGAAACAGAAATGCTGCATTTGGGCTGATGGTCAGGATTAATTTTGGTTAGCATAGGTGGAGAAAGATTGCTGGCCGAGGGGAGCCTGGCCATGGGTGGCCTGTTGGGCAGTGACTGTAGCGTGAGAAACTTTGGTGGGCTCTAGTGGGCTCTGAGACTGGGAAGGTGCCACGGGGCCTCCCTAAGGAAGGATTACTGTTGTTGGAGGAGCTAGCCAAGGATTTGAGAGACGTGGACTCGGCCTGACTTCTGTTTTATGAAGATAGCTCTGTGGATAATGGGGCAAGGTATCGGAGGCAGCAAGATAGGAGAACATGAAGTATTTCTGGGTGGAATTTTGAAGTGCACAGATTTTTTTCTTAATTGGTATATAAGAGCATTGCTTGTTGAATTGAATTATCTTTCATTCATTGATATTTATGCAAGAGGCTTTTTTATGCTCTTGTTAAATGCCAGATAAAATGCCAGGCATACTGGGGAAAGCAAGGCATTAAGTGTATGGACCCTGCCGCACCCCCGGGAAATAGAGATGATTCTGGCTATTTAGAACATAGGACTTAGTTGGAAGGCTCTGGAGTGAATAGGCTATCTGAACGAGGTAAATGTAAAATGCATTGTATGACCATGAGTGGTTTGAGGATATAGTGCAAGGGGTCATTGCTGGGAGCCAGGATGTGTGAATTCCAGGCCCAGCTCCTTGGCTCCCATTTCCTTGTGTGTTAAAATGAAGAGGGAGGAGGGAACACTGCTGGGTTCATGGAGTGATCCTTCTGAGAGTATGGTTCTGCTTCCTGAAATTCTCCCTCTGCCCAGCTCAGCCCTGGTACCTGCCCTCACAGGGTGTGGTCTGATTATACTTTCAGTCCCCCTCTGTCCCTTTCTTCTCTCCCTCTGTCCCTCTCCCCTTTCTTCCTCTCTCTCACACACACTCTCCTTCTCCATCCCCTCTCCTCCTTCCTCTTCCTCTCCCCCATTCCCTCTTTCCCACCCCCACCCCTACATGAGCCTGTAAGCCCCTTAAGGGCAGGAACTAATCTTAATTATTTATGTATTCCCTGCCCCTGCAATGAACAGAGCTTGACTGGAAATAGGTACCAGTGAGTGTTGAATGAACAAATGAAAATAAAACTAAGAAATGATTAATGGCTTTTTGGTAGAGTGGGTTTTCAAAAAATTATTAGGAATTATTTGAGATAGAAAAGTATAAAGAATAATATAATGATGAGTCATGTATCTACTGCCCAGTCTAAGGGCTGGGTTCCTTTGGTGCCCTTGTGTATGAAGACCCCATCAGAACCTACCCCTCCATAGAGGGAAACCACAGTCCCCAGTTGAATGTTTACCACTCCTATGTGTTTCTCTATACTTCTACTAAAAAAGTAC